AGTACTACTGCTAGTAGTACTACTAGTTAGTACTACTGATAGTACTACTGCTGATAGTACTAGTGCTAGTACTACTACTAGTTAGTACTACTGATAGTACTACTGCTGATAGTACTACTGCTAGTGCTAGTACTACTACTAGTTAGTACTACTGATAGTACTACTGCTGATAGTACTACTGCTAGTACTACTGATAGTACTACTGCTAGTTAGTACGACTGATAGTACTACTGATAGTTAGTACTGCTGATAGTACTACTGATAGTACTGCTGATAGTACTACTGATAGTACTACTGCTAGTTAGTACTGCTGATAGTACTACTGCTAGTTAGTACTGCTGATAGTACTACTACTAGTTAGTACTACTGATAGTACTACTGCTGATAGTACTACTGATAGTACTACTGCTAGTAGTACTACTAGTTAGTACTACTGATAGTACTACTGCTGATAGTACTACTGCTAGTGCTAGTACTACTACTAGTTAGTACTACTGATAGTACTACTGCTGATAGTACTACTGCTGATAGTACTACTGCTAGTTAGTACTACTGATAGTACTACTGCTAGTACTACTGATAGTAGTACTACTGCTAGTACTACTGATAGTACTACTGCTAGTACTACTGATAGTAGTACTACTGCTAGTACTACTGATAGTACTACTGCTAGTTAGTACTGCTGATAGTACTACTGCTAGTTAGTACTGCTGATAGTACTACTGCTAGTTAGTACTGCTGCTAGTTAGTACTGCTGGTAGTACTACTACTGATAGTACTACTGAGAATACTACAGTTACTACACAAGAACAAGCACAGCATGAACTACGACAAGGTACTACTGATAGTACTACTGATAATACTACTGCTAGTTAGTACTGCTGATAGTACTACTGCTAGTTAGTACTGCTGATAGTACTACTGCTAGTTAGTACTGCTGATAGTACTACTACTAGTTAGTACTGCTGATAGTACTACTGCTAGTTAGTACTGCTGATAGTACTACTACTAGTTAGTACTACTGATAGTACTACTGCTGATAGTACTACTGCTAGTGCTAGTACTACTACTAGTTAGTACTACTGATAGTACTACTGCTGATAGTACTACTGCTAGTACTACTGATAGTACTACTGCTAGTTAGTACGACTGATAGTACTGCTGATAGTTAGTACTGCTGATAGTACTACTGATAGTTAGTACTGCTGATAGTACTACTGATAGTACTACTGCTAGTTAGTACTGCTGATAGTACTACTGCTAGTTAGTACTGCTGATAGTACTACTGCTGATAGTACTACTGCTAGTGCTAGTACTACTACTAGTTAGTACTACTGATAGTACTACTGCTGATAGTACTGCTGATAGTACTACTGATAGTACTGCTGATAGTACTGCTGATAGTACTGCTGATAGTACTACTAATAGTACTACTGCTAGTTAGTACTGCTGATAGTACTACTGCTGATAGTACTACTGATAGTACTACTGCTGATAGTACTACTGATAGTACCACTGCTAGTAGTACTACTAGTTAGTACTACTGATAGTACTACTGCTGATAGTACTACTGCTAGTGCTAGTACTACTGATAGTACTACTGCTGATAGTACTACTGCTAGTGCTAGTACTACTACTAGTTAGTACTGCTGATAGTACTACTGCTAGTGCTAGTACTACTACTAGTTAGTACTACTGCTAGTTAGTACTACTGCTAGTACTACTGCTAGTACTACTGCTAGTACTACTGCTAGTACTACTGATAGTAGTACTACTGATAGTACTACTGCTAGTTAGTACTGCTGATAGTACTGCTGGTAGTACTACTGCTAGTTAGTACTGCTGGTAGTACTACTGCTGATAGTACTACTGCTAGTTAGTACTACTGATAGTACTACTGCTAGTTAGTACTACTGATAGTACTGCTGCTGATAGTACTACTGATAGTAGTACTACTGATAGTAGTACTACTGATAGTACTACTGCTAGTTAGTACTACTGATAGTACTACTGCTAGTTAGTACTGCTGATAGTACTGCTGGTAGTACTACTGCTAGTTAGTACTGCTGGTAGTACTACTGCTAGTTAGTACTGCTGGTAGTACTACTGCTAGTTAGTACTGCTGGTAGTACTACTGCTGATAGTACTACTGCTAGTTAGTACTACTGATAGTACTGCTAGTTAGTACTACTGATAGTACTGCTAGTTAGTACTACTGATAGTACTGCTAGTTAGTACTGCTGGTAGTACTACTGCTAGTTAGTACTACTGATAGTACTGCTAGTTAGTACTACTGATAGTACTGCTAGTTAGTACTGCTGATAGTACTGCTGGTAGTACTACTGCTAGTTAGTACTGCTGGTAGTACTACTGATAGTACTACTGCTAGTTAGTACTGCTGATAGTACTACTGCTAGTTAGTACTGCTGATAGTACTACTGATAGTACTACTGCTAGTAGTACTGCTGATAGTACTACTGCTAGTAGTACTGCTGATAGTTCTGCTGCTAGTTAGTACTGCTGATAGTACTGCTGCTAGTTAGTACTGCTGATAGTACTGCTGCTAGTTAGTACTGCTGATAGTACTGCTGCTAGTTAGTACTGCTGATAGTACTGCTGCTAGTAGTACTGCTAGTTAGTACTGCTGCTAGTAGTACTGCTAGTTAGTACTGCTGCTAGTAGTACTGCTAGATAGTACTACTGATAGTACTACTGCTGATAGTACTACTGATAGTACTACTGCTAGTAGTACTACTAGTTAGTACTACTGCTAGTTAGTACTGCTGGTAGTACTACTGCTAGTTAGTACTGCTGGTAGTACTACTGCTAGTTAGTACTGCTGGTAGTACTGCTGGTAGTACTACTGCTAGTTAGTACTGCTGGTAGTACTGCTGGTAGTACTACTGCTAGTACTACTGCTAATACTGCTGGTGTGTTTGTCTTCTGTCAGAACATCATAAAGAAGGTGAGCGGTCAGAAGTTTGTCTATAAGTTCGTCGGTCAGCCCGACCCCTCGCTGCCTGAGGGGCCACGCAACGGCGAGGAGGGCCAGAGGAGGGACAACGCCGACCCAAACGGCCAATCAAAAGGCCAGGGGGGCGTGGCCTCAACCTGTCCGTCGAAGGGCTTACCCCAGGTACTCTTTGACCTTCTGTAATTTGGTGTTGATAGATTTGTGCAGGACATTAATATGATTTCAGTAGACTGACTGATTGGTTGATCGATCGATCCCCAGCGCTCGTCGCCCTGCGGCTCCCAGAAAAGCTCCCGGAACGACTACATGAAGTCCGGCCTCTACTCCACCTTCACCATCCAGTCTCTGCAGGCCTCTCCCAACCCACGGCCAATCAAAACAGAGCTGCTGCTACAAGACCCCGCCCCCAAGGTGGATCGCACTGCCAGAGAGGTGAGGGGGGGCGTCAGAAATCAGTTTTTTAATTTAACCTTTATTTGAACAGGAAAGTCCCCCTCAGACACAGGAAGTCAAATAAAAGGGACAATTTTTCAACTAATTGAATAATTAAAATACTCCGCAGTACACTTCAAGTACAAAATGAAATACAGTACAATACAATTAACTCAAGGGCAGAATACGAGTTACCTCTGATAAAGGAAGGAGTCTCTGTGTGACAGGAACCGTTCATCCGGTCGACTTCAGACATGGCGGGCGTGTTGCTGCAGACCCAGAGGGGCGCCGCGCCGCGTTTGGTGCGGTTTAAACACGCGACACGTTCAGATTTAATAGATACAGTAGAGATGAGCGCTGTGCGGAGCTCTGAGGCGGCGAGGGCGGCGAGGGGAGGCAGAGACTCAGAGGACGGGCAGAGACAGGGGGACAGTGAGGGACGGGGAGAGACAGGGGGACAGTGAGGGACGGGGAGAGACAGGGGGACAGTGAGGGACGGTGGGAGACTCAGAGGACGGGGAGAGACAGGGGACAGGGAGAGATTCAGAGGACGGGGGGAGACTCAGAGGACGGTGGGAGACAGGGGGACAGTGAGGGACGGGGGGGACAGTGAGGGACGGGGGGAGATTCAGAGGAGGGGGGAGACTCAGAGGACGGGGAGAGACGAGGGGAGACTCAGAGGACGGGGAGAGACAGGGGGACAGGGAGAGATTCAGAGGACGGGGGGAGACTCAGAGGACGGTGGGAGACAGGGGGACAGTGAGGGACGGGGGGAGACAGGGGGACAGTGAGGGACGGGGGGAGACTCAGAGGACGGGGGGAGACTCAAAGGACGGGGGGAGACTCAGAGGACGGTGGGAGACAGGGGGACAGTGAGGGACGGGGGAGACAGGGGGACAGTGAGGGACGGGGGGAGACTCAGAGGACGGGGGGAGACTCAAAGGACGGGGAGAGATTCAGAGGACGGGGAGAGACTCAGAGGACGGTGGGAGACAGGGGGACAGTGAGGGACGGGGGGAGACAGGGGGACAGTGAGGGACGGGGGGAGACTCAGAGGACGGGGGGAGACTCAGAGGACGGGGAGAGACTCAAAGGACGGGGGGAGATTCAGAGTACGGGGAGAGACAGGGGGACAGTGAGGGACGGGGGGAGACTCAGAGGACGGGGGGAGATTCAGAGGACGGGGGGAGATTCAGAGGACGGGGGGAGATTCAGAGGACGGGGAGAGACAGGGGGACAGTGAGGGACGGGGGAGACTCAGAGGACGGGGAGAGACAGGGGGACAGTGAGGGACGGGGGGAGACTCAAAGGACGGGGAGAGATTCAGAGGACGGGGGGAGACTCAGAGGACGGTGGGAGACTCAGAGGACGGGGGGAGACTCAGAGGACGGGGGGAGACAGGGGGACAGTGAGGGACGGGGGGAGACAGGGGGACAGTGAGGGACGGGGGGAGACAGGGGGACAGTGAGGGACGGGGGGGGACAGTGAGGGACGGGGGGAGACAGGGGGACAGTGAGGGACGGGGGGAGATCAGAGGACGGGGGGAGACTCAGAGGACGGGGGGAGATTCAGAGGACGGTGGGAGACAGGGGGACAGTGAGGGACGGGGGGAGACAGGGGGACAGTGAGGGACGGGGGGAGACTCAGAGGACGGGGGGAGATTCAGAGGACGGGGGGAGATTCAGAGGACGGGGGGAGACAGGGGGACAGTGAGGGACGGGGGGAGACAGGGGGACAGTGAGGGACGGGGGGAGACAGGGGGACAGTGAGGGACGGGGACAGTGAGGGACGGGGGGAGACAGGGGGACAGTGAGGGACGGGGGGAGACTCAGAGGAGGGGGGAGACTCAGAGGACGGGGGGAGATTCAGAGGACGGTGGGAGACAGGGGGACAGTGAGGGACGGGGGGGGAGACAGGGGGACAGTGAGGGACGGGGGGAGACTCAGAGGACGGGGGGAGATTCAGAGGACGGGGGGAGATTCAGGGGGGGAGAGACAGGGGGACAGTGAGGGACGGGGGAGACTCAGAGGACGGGGAGAGACTCAAAGGACGGGGGGAGATTCAGAGGACGGGGAGAGACAGGGGGACAGTGAGGGACGGGGGGAGACTCAGAGGACGGGGAGAGACTCAAAGGACGGGGGGAGATTCAGAGGACGGGGGGAGATTCAGAGGACGGGGGGAGATTCAGAGGACGGGGAGAGACAGGGGGACAGTGAGGGACGGGGGGAGACTCAAAGGACGGGGGGAGATTCAGAGGACGGGGAGAGACAGGGGGACAGTGAGGGACGGGGGAGACTCAAAGGACGGGGGGAGACTCAGAGGACGGGGAGAGACAGGGGGACAGTGAGGGACGGGGGGAGACTCAAAGGACGGGGGGAGATTCAGAGGACGGGGAGAGACAGGGGGACAGTGAGGGACGGGGGAGACTCAAAGGACGGGGGGAGACTCAGAGGAGGGGAGAGACAGGGGGACAGTGAGGGACGGGGGGAGATTAAGAGGACGGGGGAGACTCAGAGGACGGGGGGGGAGAAGGGGGACAGTGAGGGACGGGGGGAGACTCAGAGGACGGGGGGAGACTCAGAACTGCACAGAACCTCCATCACATCACGAACTGAGAACAACCAGAAGAAAGTCTGACTGCAGTAGAAAATAAGTTGTTGTTGTTTGGATGAACTTCCTGTAATATTGTCACATATTTAAATAATAGTTCTAGGAAAACACTACTGCTTTTTAAAAGCAAGACATCGTTTTCTGTGCAAGATATTTTTAGTTTGTGTTTTAAAATGGATTTGTTTATTATTTACATGTAGATGTGACTTCCTGCTTTTTTACCCAAACATTCGTTCCAGTAAAGCTCATTGAGCCGAATGAGAGCGGACGTGAGGACGTGAGGTGTTGTCGCGTGCAAAGAGTCACGAGAGACGGCGGCAGTTCACTTTACAAACTGCTGCAAGTCAGACAGACAACCCAGGACATGTTCCCTCATTCTGCGGCCCACGCCAGGCCCTGAGCCAGAGCTTAACTCGCCCTGCGTTCACTGTGAAGAAGTGGGCGGTGCTACAGATCACGCGTCGCCTCCTTTCGTTTTCTTCAGTTTCCCTCAGCACTGTTAGAAAAAGACGTCTCCTCCTTTACGTGAGTCGGTCCCACGCAGAGACGCTGACAGATTTTAGTTGAGTCGGCGCTCTGGAACAGACAGTCAGTCTGTCCTGACAGTGATCCTGATTTCTCCTCCTCTTGTTTCTCCTCCTCAGGTCTGTGTGTTATCAGAGGCTAAATCCCCCCCGTCAGCAGGCGGCGGCGTGGACTCTGCTCTCCAGGTGATCGTCACTCAGGCGTCCCCCTGTCCCACTCCGGCGCCCAGCCCCCAGATTCCAGCCACCAGCCAGTCGCAGGTCAGGGTCTCTGGTCACTTTGGGGAGGGCGGGGTAAATGTATCGCAGCTTGGCGTGTTGAAAGATCCCGTCTCTCCCTTCCTTTCCCAGAATCCTCCCGCTCCTCCTCTAAACGACCCTCCTCAGATTTACCTCACCAGGGTCGGGGATCCGTCCTCGCTCACCCCCCTCATTCCCCTGGGTCCTGTCGGGGGCTCGGTGAGTCCTGTCCCGCCACCCCACATATCCGTGGGGCCGCAGCAGGACGACTGCGGCGGAGTCACCAGCTCCAGCTTCCCGCCTCAACCCTCTCTGCTCCCACCCTCCTCACCCCCAGCCTGTCTTTGTCATCATCAACCCCCTCCCTCCCAGCAGCAGCAGCAGCAGCAGCAGCAGGCGGCGGCGGCCGTGGTGGCTGCTCCTCTCGCTGTCGCTCCTCCTCCCCTCTGTTCCTCACCGGTCGTCCCCCTTCCCCCATCGTCATCAAGGAGGAGACCCTGCCGTCAGAGGAGGAGCTGCTGAAGATGGTGTCTCTGGAGGGAAACAGGCGGAGGAGGTTGAGAGGAGGAGACGAACTCATTGAAACGCAGTAAAGATTAAAACGGTGAAGTCGCTCTCGGCCTCCTCAGAGTCAGATCTGAACCCTCAGACAGGAAACACGTGTTGAATCATTCAGTTGTTCTGGAGAGAGAGAGAGAGAGCAAGAGATAGAGAGAGCTA